AATTAGCATCTGTATTCCCCAATAGACTATAAGCTCCGTGATATTCCCCAATAGACTATAAGCTCCGTGAAGGAAAGGACTATGTCTGTCACGTTCATCACTATGTCCCCTAACATATGCCTAGCACATAATCAGCACTCAACAGATCCTTATTAAATTAATGAGCAACCAGCCTGCACAACATGGTGAAATCCCATCTCTACAAAAAAACCCCACAAAAATTAGCCAGGCATGGTAGTGCACGCCTGAATCCCGGCTACTTGTGGGGCTGAGGCAGAAGGATAGCTTGGGCCAAGGAGGTTGAGGCTGCAGTGAGTCAAGTTTGCATCTCAGTTTGGGTGACACAGCAAGACCTGCCTCCAAAAATAAGTTAAATAAATAAATAAATTGAAAAATGGGCAAATTTCACATACAATGCCTCAAAAGCAATCTTTATACATAGCTTGCCAAGTCAAATGCCCATGGGGGCTGGTAATATAAATGCGTTCATTGGGTAAGGAGTATTGGTAGTGAGTATTGGGGGGCTACTGAAACAATAGATGTGTCTGCTAACACTGACCCAAATAAAACACCTGTGGTGGGATAGGCCACAGTGGGTCACACCTGTAATCCCAGCACTTAATCAAGCAGATCACTTGAGCCCAGGAGTTTGAGACCAGCCTGGGAAACACGGTGAAACCCCATCTCTACAAAAAAAAAAAAAAAAATAGCCAGCATGGTGACATGCGCTTGTAGTCCCAGCTACTTGGGAGGCTTAGATAGGAGGTTCACTTGAGCCTGGGAGATTGAGGCAGCAGTGAGCCATGATCATGCCACTGTACTCCAGCCTGTGTGACATAGTGAGACCCTGTCTCAAAAAACAACCAACCAACCAACAACAACAACAACAAAAAAAAAAACGCCTGCAGTGAGGGACTAGCGTTGTCTGTTCCCTAGACTGGCAATTATTCTCTCCTGTATGTTTTAAGAAAACACAGGATTTAACTCAGAAATAAAATCCATTAAGTAATTTGAGTTCAAATAAATAGATACCTTTATTTGAGCAAGAGAATGGAGGACAAGGAGAAAACCCACCTGGGTGAGGCAGCCAAATCCACGGTGCCTTGGTGGGGTCAGACAGTTCCTGGGGGATAACACTGAAGCCCACAAAGGCAGAGATGATCCACACACAGGCCACTGGGATCAGCACCTGAGGGGCGAGACTGAGACAGAAAAGAACTCCTCCCCAGAACTTTCTGAGTCAGCCTTGGAGGGGCAGAAAGAAGCCAAAAGGTAGGGGCTGGAGTGAGCACTCCAGGGCAGCCCTTCTGACCTCTATGCCCTGCCCAGACCCATACATACTGAGAGGAGCCGGAAGGCAGGGAGAGGATTGGGAGTTGATGAGGTTGAAGCTTGCCTCCAGGGACACACATGAACCTGGCAGGAGCCCAGGTGCTGAGAACAGACCACCATAAGCAGGATGACCCTAGGAGAGAGAAGGCTTTACGAGCGAGAGCAGCCGGCATCCTAAGGGATGGGAAAGGAGGTGGGAGTGGGCAGAATACCATAAAAGGGGGTATCCCAGAGAAGGAAACTCCCATGGAAGGAATAGGAAGGCACCTCGAGGGACAGCAGAAGACAGTGTGAAAGTCAGAGAGAACACATGAATCAAGGAAAAGTCTTGGATTCCAAATATAAAACATGTCCCTCTTCCAGTTGCTGCTGAATCTGATAGGACCAGCAGCTCTACCCTCCCCCTGTACCCCCATACACCCCACTGGGCACCATCCCATGCCTCTCAGGACTCAACGTACAGCAAGGCCAATCCCCAGTGAGCGGAGCAGAACTGGGCCACCTCCCTGTGGGCAGAGAGCCCTGCCACAACCAGGCTGGGGGCCAGTACCAGGGGCCCACAGTGGAGGAACACGCGGCCAGGACTCCCCAGCAGCCCCAGCGTGCCCTGCAACAGCCCAGATACCACCACTGCCCCGGATACCTGGTAGAAGAGAGGAGAGGATGGAGAGAAAACATTCTGCTCAATCAAACTGGGCTCAGCCTGGTCTTCCTAATTCTAGGTATGGGTTCCTCCCCCAGCTCCTTTCCAGGAGCATCTCAGTCTCTGCATAATGGAAACAAGAGCCCTCCCTCCCACCTCCGAAAGCCTGGCACCATCCTTATCCCTCCTCACCTCCAGACACCCACCTCCTGGAGAGAAGTGTTCCAGTGCCCCAAGCCATGGCAGCTAGGTCCCCTACACAGATGCAGCATGAGGGAGGCTAGGAAAAGTTTGGGGAATGGTAAATAGAAAGATGAATGGGATGGAGACCCATAGCGCTATAGTCCCACTCCTGGCACAGGTCCAAGCCCCCTACAGTGCCTCAGTCTCACCACTGCCCAGTCTCAATCCTGCACCCACTTACACCTGCACGCTTAGATGGGAACCCAACCCCACCCTTACCCCTTGCCCTTGCTCTGTGCTCACAGTTTCCAGGTGTCTGGATGGCCAGCGGTAGCTTCTGGCTGGTCAGCATCAGAGCAGGGATAAGGAACTCTAAGGATGGAGCCTGGACAAGAGGCAGCCTGTAGGAACAGCAGTCCCAGCAGGTCTGGAAATATGTGGCAGCCAACAAAGCTCCCCCAGACCTCTCCTACCCTCCGGAACCCTGCCCCTCTCTCCAGGGAGGTTCCTCTCACCTGCTGCCCATCCAAGTTTGCAGGATGGTAGACACACCACATGAAAAGAAGCTGGAGGCCAGGAGCTGAGAAGGGGAGTATGAGAGTCCTCCTGGGGGGAGATTGTAAAGCAGGAGCAGGTGGGAGACACAGAGCAGAGAAGCCACGACCAAGACATGCTGTAGGTGGAGGAATGGGGAGGGCAGTCTTCAGACAGGTGGAAATACCTACAATACTTCCAGAGGCTTTCGTGTGCCACACCTACACCTACTTTCCCCACACATGCCATCAGCCAGCACCTCTGCCTCCTACCTGCAGAGCCAGAAGACAGCTGAGACTCCAGGGCAGAGATCCACACAGAGGATCCCAAGAGTGGGTGGAGGGATTCTGGGGAGCAGGTGGAGGCAGGGAAGCCAGAGCATCCTGTGAGCCCACTGATCGGAGCTGGTTAGGATTGAGAGGTGATCGGCTCATGCTGCCCTGCCTTTTGCTTTGTCTTGGCTGCCTGGGGCCAGAGTTAAGTAGACAGAGTAAGAGGTCAGAGTTTGGGTGAAGTCTGGGGTGGGGAGAAGGTGGGGGTGTCAATGAAGCAGAGCAAAGGTATAAGGAATTTGGGGCTGGGCACCGCCCTTTCACCTTTGCCCAGCTCTTGTGTAAATTCCATCAGCCATTAACTGGGAAGCTGAGTTCTGGAGCCCTCCCCCAAGAATCTTCTTCCAGATTTCCTGCTCCTAGACCAGGCTGTAGAAAGTAGGTTAGGAGAGGTGGGGAGAAGAGATCTTCAAATAATCTGGGGAAATTTTGTAGACTTCATTCCCTCCCATTTAAAACCATCACTATTCGGTTTATAGTCCTCACCTCTTTCAGGACCAAGGCCCCTGGACTACTTCAAAACGATTGTGGGCCAAATGTGGTGTCTCATGCCTGTAATCCCAGCACTTTGGGAGGCCGAACTGGATCACTTGAGGTCAGGTGTTCAAGACCAGCCTGGCAACATGGTGAAACCCTGTCTCTACTAAAAATACAAAAATTATCTGGATGTGGTGGCACATGCCTGTAATCCCACCTACTCGGGAGGCTGAGGCACAAGAATAGCTTGAACCCAGAAAGCGGAGGTTGCAGTGAGCTGAGACCACACCATTGCACTCCAGCCTGGGTGACAGGGTGAGACTCTGCCAAAAAAAAAAAAAGAAAAAGAAAACAAAAAACGTGTGGCTAATATATCCTGTATCACATGTGACAACCACAACTACTTGTAACATGCTCAGTGTAAAGAATAGAATTTATAACATGTATTTCATTATGTGAAGGCTTAAGCACAACTAAACCAGAAGACAATAAAGTACAATGAAGTCGTCAATTCCCACACCCTACATAGAATCGCTGTGGTTGCAACAGCTACAGTGAAAGCTGATATTGGTAACCCAATTTTCCAAAATGGCAAACAAACTCTTGGTTAAAGTGCGAAGTAAAACAAAGTAGTTTTAATTGACATGGGAATGAATTCCTAGCAAACTCAGTCTTTTCCAAAATGCACAAACACTATTTCATGTTTACAGGTACAAAGACAGTTCTAGGCTCAGATAAATAAAAAGGGTTTTTATATACATAAAGCTGGTCATTCAAAAGTTGTCTTGGGAATTCTTCACAGTAAGGGAGGTCTGAGCATTTCAAGATGTCAAGCATCCTGCCCAGGTTGATGAAATGCTAGTAGCATACCCTCAAATCCTTCTGACAATGAAAAAATGGCCCATGAATTTCCAAAATGCCCCCTAGGGGGCAGAACCACCTCTTCCGTGAAGGATCCTCAGCAGTCCCCGATACACTCAGTCAAGCTGCCCAGACTGTTTTCCTTCTTTGAGTGATGACCCAGCCTTGGAGTTCTTCAAGTTCTTGGAATTGTTAAACACATGTGACCATCACCATGTGTCAGCCCAGTGAGAAGGTCAGGAGAGAGGTATCCTCATGAGCTCCTGATGCTCTGCTGGATACAAGGCCTGGCCCCTCTCCGTAAGATGAGCTTCAGAATCCACAAGGAGAGTGCTCACCCAGAACAAGTGACAGACAGGGCCAACTCAGGCACGGGACAGTCACTCTTTGTGCCCCATGGCACCCCAAGTCAAACAGTGCTGGGCCCAGGGTCCTGGGAGCAGGAACAAAGTTGGAAATGGAAGCCTATGCCTATTAAATGATAGGAAAGTCCTGAGATGAGGTTCAGAGAAAATGGTTTGTGAGCTGACAGGATGAGGAAGCAGGGAGGCTTAGAAGGTAGAAGCAGGGAGGCTTGGAAGGTAGATACAAGGAAGAAAGATCTTTAAGGGTTGCCGCAGAAGGAAAAGTCCAGGCCATGCAACTGAAACTGTTTATTGAAACCTCAGTTCTACAAAAGCGTGAAAAACCCTGATACAAAGCAGTGTCCAGAGAGGCCTGGGAAGAGAATACCCGGGAGAGGAACCAGAAGAGAGGGAAGCCTAGGAGCAGGACACTAAGAGAACACTGGAAGACAAAAGGTCAGGGTTGAAGGTCCCAACAGTCCTTCGCTCCATTAGACTAAAGCTAAGGAACCGGAGTGAAAAGGGTTCCCTGCCTCACCCAGCAGCTCCCACCTGACCCCATCAGTCCCTGGCTCTTCTGCCTCAGGGACATCACATAGGCCCATGTCAACATTTCCTTCCTCCTCTCACCCCACTTCCCTTATCTCCCACCTTTACCCTTCCATCCTAGGGAACTAAAAAGTAAACGTCTAGAAAAGCCCAGGGAGGCAGAGAAGGGCTTCTACTATGTCCATCTGGGACATGTCCCTGGTCACCAAGTGGAAGCTCTCCCTGGCACAATCACTGTCCTGGTCAAGCAGCCAGCCACTGAGGTCTAGGAGTGAATGACCTTCAGTCCTTCTGCCCCACCACCCCATAAGCTCCCACTCAGGAGGACAGGGGATCTGCCAAGGACCCAGAGAGGCAGAGAGGATCTAAATCAAGCTTTGCTCCTCCAGGTTCTCAGAACTCCCAAACCCTCTTAATGCATTCCTTGGAGCCCCACCTAGCCTGGGAAAATGAAAGACTTGAGGCGAGCCAGCTCCATGACGCTGAAAAGGGAACACTGCTGGGGCTGGGGAAGTGAAGGGGGCACTGGACTCCAGGGCCAGGGGGGAGCCAGGCCATAGGTATGGTACCAGGGGTTGGGCTGCCCAGCAGGGACTGTACGGTTGGGGTGGTGGCAGGCACGGCAGGTTGGGGAGTCTCTCTGGAGCTTCTGGCAAAGGGGGCAGTTATGAAGAAGAGTAGGAGGGGCAGGGGGCTCTGGGGGAGGCAATGGTGGAGGAGTCAGCGAGGCCAGAAGACTGCCCCAGAGTGACTGCAGCCCTGTGCTGCCTTCTAGGCAGCTGGAGACATTAGCAGGAGATGGCAGGCATTGTGGCACAGAAGGTATGCAGGGCTCCAGGAGGGACCCGGAGGTCAGTCCAAGGTCAGGTGGCCCAGGTGCAGGGGTGCAGGACAGCCCCAAAGACTGATGTATTACGGCCACCGATGCCACAGCCAGGGCCACACTGCTCACATATGCCACAGCTAACAGGCAGGACAGCTGCAGGAGAGGAGGTAAGAAAAGATTCTGACTGTCTTTAACACATTCTCACCCCTTATCTCTAGAAACTTGTGTTCCAGTTGGAGCTCTCTATAGCCATTTATACGCCATCTTGCCCATCTATTCCCAACCCCATCTCTCAGGCCTTGCAGCAATCACTTCACACCATCCCACCCTATATACCAGCCTGCTGAAGCTCCTGTCCTTCCAAGCCCTCCTCACCTTTACCAGCCGCTGGCAGAGGGAGCCCAGGGCAAACTGCCAGGTTGGCTGCTCCAGCAGCACACACAGGTCTGTGTAGGTGTACCAGCCTCGCCGCCGTCCCTGCTGCTCAGCCACACTAGGGGAAATAGACAAATGACAGAGTATTCAACTCTCCCTCAGCCAGCCCAGTAGCACCCTCGTCACCCAGGACCCACCAGGACACACTGGGGAGCTTGTTAAACCGACAGATTCCTAGGCTATCTGCTGATCTAGAAACTAAGGATGAGACCAAGACCTATATTTTATTTACTTTTATTTATTTATTTTGTTAAGACAGGATCTTGCTGCTTTCCAAACTAGAGTGCAGCAGTGCAATAATAGCTCACTGCAGACTCAACATCCTGGACTCAAGTGATCCTCTAGCCTCAGCCTCCTGAGCTGGGATTATGGGTGTACTAAACTGCACCTGGCTAATATTTTATCTGGTAGGGTCAGTGGTCTTGCTATATTGTCCAAGCTGGTCTTGAAATCCCGGACTCAAGCAATCCTCCTGCCTTGCCCTCCCAGAGTGCTAGGATTACAGGCATAACTACCGTAACCCAAGATATGTATTTTAAATAAGCTGCTTCCCACCTTCCCAAAGATGATGATGAAGAGGACACATACGTTTGGGAACCACGATCTTGGCAATTCTCTTTCTTGTCTCCTTCCTTTCCCATTTCTAGCTCCTATGGCTGAGGCCTCAGCCCCCCCAAATCCCTCAAGCCCTTCTTCTCAACTCCTAGAACCTACCAGCTCTCCAGCCAGCTCAGCACCTCAAAGATCTCTCGAGGGTCAGTGTAGAGACGCCAATCCTGTAAGTGGAGAGGACACCAAACCAGACTTGGATATGAGCCACAATCATTTAAAAATAAGAGCCATAGCAGCAACTACAACCATCACTATGGCTAATGCATATTTGGCACTTACTATGTGCCAGATACTGCCTCAAAACCTTTTACATATTAACTCATTGGATCACTACCTGCCTGGTTTCACATTATACCCTCCACTAAGGAAGAGGAGAGAAAATGATGCTGAGAATGGTTCATGCCCACAGGGAGCTAAACATCTAGAGGCAGAAAAACTATGGACACAAATACTCAGAACCCAATATGATAAACTCTGACTCAAGAGTGTACCCTGTGGGGCCTGACTCAGAGTATACCTGTGGGACCCTGGAGGAATAGAGGAATAGAACTTCACTGCTCTAGAATCTCCAAAACTGTGGTTAGTACTGAAGAGATAGAAAATGAAGACACTAACACAAAGGCACAAGAAAGACAGAAAGACAAATGACAAACCAACAGAAAGCTGTGCAAGAACAAAGGACTTAAGGATGATAAAGACGGGCCAGGGAAACTGAGCAAGAGAGAAAACAGCTACTCACCATGGCACTCAGGAAGCCCCTCTCCAAGGCATTGAGAGTGGGCACAGCCACACCCCCAGCAGCTCCCCATTCATCATTGAAGACCTCCTCCTCCTCCCCTTCATCATAGAGGTACTTACTGGCCACCATCTGCAGAGGAACCACAAGTGGTAGAGCAGAGCTCACAGCAGGTTCCTGACTCACTAGGGAGACAGGGAGGAGGTGTCTTACCATAGAGATCAAGAACAAGTCAGAGGATGACACGTGCTGCAGGTAGTCTGGGTTTCGGTGCCGGAGCCGTTCAATGTACACCAGAGCCAGCATCATAGCACATGGGGAGATACACGCCTCCCTGAGGGTAGAAAGTATCACTAATTAAACCCAAGGGTCCTTCGACTCCTGCAAGTTTTAAGATGCTAGCTCCTGTCTTTACCTCTTATGTTTGGAAAAAACTATTCCTGGCTGGGCACAGTGGCTCATGCCTGTAATCCCAGCACTTTGGAAGGCCAAGGTGGGTGGATCACTTGAGGCCAGTAGTTCAAGACCAACATGGTGAAACCCTGTCTCTATCAAAAATACAAAAATTAGCTAGGGGTGGTGGTGTGTGCCTGTAGTCCCAACTACTAGGTAGGTTGTGGCACAAGAATCAATGGAACCCAGGAGGTGGAGGTTGCAGTGAGCTGAGATTGTGCCACTGCACTCCAGCCTGGGCAGCAGAGCAAGGCTGTCTCAAGAATAAAAAAAAAGAAAAAGAAAAAATTATTCCTGTTTCTCTAGGATCCAAACACTCTCATCCTATCCTCATTTCCAGGCTCACCGGGACACATGAGCTACGTATTTCTTCTGGAGTCGGCGAATAGGGCTAGGGGCTGCCTTCTGGAGCAGTTCCACAGCAATGTCTGCAAGGGACAGAAGGCAGGCCGAGTGAGCAAGTAAGTACCCACCCCAACACGCCAGTCCCCACTGCTAGCAGAAGATGCAGATCTGTATTTTCTGAGGCCTTGGGGACAGGACCAGGACCACAGTAACAAAATAGAAATTTTGTTACACTGAGACAAAAGCCCATTCCAAGTTTGAATTTCAGCTCATTCTAGCAGGAAAGCTTACTGCCCTGTCACCTGAAATTATCCAGATTTGTCTATCACTGCTGTTCATCTGTGGCATAAACAGGCCTTGTTTACTTGGGGAACATATAATGGATATCCTTGGAAAAATAGATTTTCAATATATAAATCAAGAGTGGTTTGTACAGACATATGAGGCAACAATGTTTTTTATTCACTTGGGCTAAAAGAATACAAACTGTCCTCTTAAATCAAGTACCAACAAGCTAGCAATGAAGAGACAGTGCAGCCACGGGGCAAACCTTGAGTCCTTTTAATGGCTGATAACAACCCCATTTTCCTGCTTCTCACTTGTTCAGTCACACAACACTGCCTAACCTGCCACCGGGCTGGAGAGTTCCTCCAGGCTACAGTTGGCTTCCCAGTCCCAGCCATAGTAGAGCCTCCTTCGGATCCGGGCACTCAGCTTCTGGTGTCCTGGGAGGAACTGAAACAGGGCAGGCGCAGCGGAGGGTGAAGGGCAGGGAAAGGTATGATGGAGATCCTGGCTCCGGGCTGGAAGTCGGTGCGGGGGACAGGTCGGCCTCACGGCCAGGAGTTCCATGCCATACCCAGACCCACATTCTCTGAATCGCTTGCCAATGGCAGCCTGGTCTACAAAAAGAGGCTCCCCTGCACCCATCGAGGGCTCCCCGGGAGAAGTTCTCCGAGAAGGGCCCTCGTCCGGCCACCCCTACCCCCATTCCTATACCCCGTGGCTCTCCCTCTGGGCCAAAGCGGCCGCCGCCTTGAGGAGGCACTGCTCCAGCGGCTGCCGCCCAGTCCCGGCACGGGAGTCAGGCGAGCTCGCGGCGCTGCAAGAGCCCAGAGGGACGCGCCAGGAGGCTGGGGAGGGGGCGGGCCACGCGCTCACCGTGAAGTCCTGGAAGCCGGCGAGGGAGAAGGTGCCTTCTTCGTCCAGCAGGATCCCGGTCAGGTCCATCGCGCCTCCGCCCTGCGAAGGTGAACGGAAGGGAAGCAAACGAGTTGTCGGGGGCGCGCGGAGCTGTCCTCGCCCGCCCACCTTGCACGGCTGCCTCCCGGCTGCTGGCCGCCGCCCTCGCCCTCGGAGCTCCCTCCCCCGCGGAGGCGGAAGGCGGGGCCCGGGCTGGCGGGCGCCTCTTCCTGTTCCGCCCCGGGCTTGGCGCCGAGCGGAGCCCTAGGCCCAGGGAGCCCGGCGTCGAGCGTCCGTGCAGCGCTCACCTCGCGGAGTAGAGGGGAGACCTAGCTGCGAGGCGCGTAGTGCTCGCGTGCCGCGTCCGACCGGCGTTTACAAGCTGCGGGGATGCCGCCCGCGAGTCGGCGCTCGGCACTTCCTGCCGCCAGCTCCGCCCAGCCTCCCGCCCCACGGGCAGGACCCGGACTCGAACTCCTGGCCTCCCCAAGCGTGGTCAAGTCCCAGAGCTGAGCCCGAGGCGCCCTTCTGAGAAACGGGGACGATTCCTAGGGGACCACGCCGCACTGAGGATGAAGGAGTCAGGCAGACCTTTCCGTAGCAATGGTGAAGTTAATGGGAATAAGACGAGACGCACAAGCAGTTGTTCCCAGTTGCTTTTTAGAAAGGGAGATTATACGCACTCAGCAATGCGTATGAAAAGCATCTGAAAGGATACACGAGAAATGTATCAGTGGGTGAACTATGGACAAGGAGGAAAAGAAACCCAGGGGTTCTTTTTAGGGTAATCTTAACTTTTAAACCAGAGGTTACTGCGGAAATTCTGTGATCTTAAGCGAATATAAGGCCCCAAAACGTGTCAAAACGTCCGCCCAACAGTAAACTGCATCTACCCAAGGTTTTGTTTTTAAACCCACCTCCGGCCCCCAATCTCATGCTTGAGGAGGCCGAGGTGGGAAGGAGCTCCGATATGTGGAGGCGGGAAAGTTTAAGGAGACAAGAGAAAAACAAGCTTTCAGAGTAGACGAAGATGTTTTCGAGTCTGTCGAGTCACGCGCTGGTGTGTGTTTGTTTACCCGCTGAGGGGAGGGAACTGGGAGGACCAGTGCGTTGAGGGTTGAGAAATGGGACGGCCACCGCCCTTCCCGAGCAGAAGCATATCCTACCGGGGATACTGGGCGTCTGGAAGCGCACTTCCTGCCCCACACCGGGGATACCGGGGCACCACCACACTCCCTAGCCGCCCGGCCCACTGTGGGATAAGAAACCGGGCTCAACTGCCCCGACCCGGACCCGGACTCAGACCCAGGGTGATTTTGACAGCCGGAAAACGCACCTGAGTAGGCGCAGGGTTAGCGGCAGCCGCCGGCGCGCAAGCGCGGGTCGCCCTATCCGGGTGGTTAGGCCGCGTCACGTGACGGACTAAGCGCTCTGTCGTCACGTGACGTCCGTCTGCAGCCTCTGCTGTCCGCCGCTGCGCCCCCTTCCGCCTGACGCGCCCCCGGCGGCGGCCGCGCAGCCCTGGCTCCTCGCGGGCTCGGGCGGCGGCTGCGGCGGGGCTATGGCGAGCGGCGGTGGCGGTGGTAACACCGGCGCAAGTGGGGGGCCGGGGATGGGCCTAAGCCTAGGCCTGGGTCTGGGTCTGAGCCTAGGCATGGGTGAGGCCACCGGCGAGGCAGAGGAGGAGGCGGCGACGGCCGAGGCGGTGGGACGCCTGGCCACGACGCTGTGGCTGCGGCTCCGCAGTTGGGAGGCGGTGCTGGCGGCGGCGCAGCGGCTGCTGGTGTGGGAGAAGCCGCTGCACAGCCTGATCACGGCTGCCGCGCTCAATGGCCTCTTCTGGTAACGGCCGCGGAGGAGGGGGCGGGGCCGGGCTGAGCGGGAGAGCGGGGGCGGGAGGGGTCGAGAGCACCTTTCCCCTTTCTAGGTTATCAGTTGGCCGGGCGGAATGACCCATCCCAGTTTTTGCAGGCTGACATCCGCTTAGGTTGCCCCTTTTTTCTGTCTCTGAGTGGCGAGTCAGGCCTGGCGGTGCCATTCCCCCATCAGTAGGTGCCTTTCCCCCTTCTGAGATGGATGCAGGAGCCTCCCTCACCCACTCACTGCTGAGGTGCCTGTCTCTCCCTAAGGTTGCTGTCTTCCTCGTCCCTCCGGCCCTTCTTCCTACTCAGCGTCTCACTTTTGGCCTATTTTCTGCTGGATCTCTGGCAGCCTCGCTTTCTCCCTGACGTTTCAGGTGAGTGTTTCTTCAGTAAGCACCCTTTGGGCACTTCCTGGGTGCCTGATTCCGCTGGGCGGGGTTGAATGGTGAGGGGAACGGACAGCAGGTCACCTGCCTCCCAGGCATACCCCCCTTCCTTTTTGCAGGGTATTGTCTAAAATAAGAGTTGCCCCTTTCCCAAATTAATATTACTGCAGGTGCAGTGGCTAAGATTGTGAAGTCTGCAGCCATATTGCCTGGGTTCCTTTCCCTGCTCCGCCACCTACCATGCCTGTGACCTTGTAAAAGTAGCTCAATCTCCGTTTGCCTCAATTTCCTTATCTGTAAAACACAGATGATAGAACTTGCTTCATAGACAGGCGAGGAGAGGATTAAATGAGTTCATACACATCCTATACTTGTGATAGTGCTTCACATATAATATGAGCTGTATAAATGGGACGTCCGTGTTGCTTTCCTTGTTATCCATATAATTTACTTAACAGGTGATGGGCTGTGTATGAGTTGCTTGGGATATAAGCATGAGTAAAATGTGTTCCTATGCTGGAGACACAAACAGTAACATGTGACAGCTCCCCAAATGGCATCTGAAGAAAGTGCTCTGGGGCTGCAAATGAGGGACAACTATTCCTGCCTCAGGGAGTGTCTCCCAGGGCCCCTACCACTCAATAATTTGTCCCCCTCCTATCTCTCTAGCATCATCCCCGGAGGAGCCACACTCTGACAGGTGAGTGCAGGCTACCTTTTGAAGACAAATGCCCACATCCTGTCCTGCTTGCCGGTGCCGGTATCACCCTGGAGCAGGGCATTGCCCCAGCATTGTGAATGGACTGGTAACAAGCCATGGGTTTGTCATGGTCCTAGGCTCCCACGTAGGTGTTCGCGTGCCTGCTCCTTTTGGGGCAGAGGGTTGGGTCCTCCTGACTTTGCTTGTGAAGACCAGGACAGCCTCCTTTTGGGAGGTGGGGTTGTTCACTTTTTTAGACGGAAGGGATCATTGGCATTCTCAGAGGGATTTGAGTGTCTAGGAAGCTGGTATCTGAGGCCTCCAGGGGTCATGTCATGTCTCCCCAGTGAGGGTGCGGGGTCAGGCGCCCGGCCGCACCTGCTGAGTGTGCCCGAGTTGTGCAGATACCTGGCTGAGAGCTGGCTCACCTTCCAGATTCACCTACAGGAGCTGCTGCAGTACAAGAGGCAGAATCCAGCTCAGGTAACCTCCCCCAGATCATCCAACAGTTCACTACACACTGAAGGGGAGTAGAGGTGGCAGGGATGGTGGTGGAGTGACATAAACTCCCTGGTTGGAGACCCTGAAAGAAGAGGCCTGGGTGCCTCCTTGAGGCAGCATTGACAGCTAGTCCATGGTGTAGGAGGCAGTCTCACCTCAGGAAATGAGCTTCTGATAGCTTGGCACTTTCTCCTGCCAAGGCAGACGAGTGTGAATTACAGGAATTGCGCACTATCTATTGCCAACTTCCTGAATTGGTGGTCTTGAGCATCCTCTTAACCAAACTGGACCACCACATTCCTCAAGGACATACCCATCTTTCTACAAGCTGAACAGTAGTTTCTTTTCCAGCTGAGTGGGGCACATATTTCAGCCTGCTGTTCTTAGACTTGTGCTTTTCTTTGCAGTTCTGTGTTCGAGTCTGCTCTGGCTGTGCTGTGTTGGCTGTGCTGGGACACTATGTTCCAGGGATTATGATTTCCTACATTGTCTGTGAGTAGGGTCTGTCCCTGCCCTATTTAAAGCCCTCTCCTTTCTTCTTTCTTTGTACTGATCCAGAGGGAAGACTACTCTCTCTGCTCAGTTTCTGATTTGTGGAGATCTCCAGGGATGCTTTAGTAGTAGTAACTGTGGAAGACTTACCTGGGGAGGAGGGCAGTGGATGTGGTGAGAAGAGGTTGGCACAGCCTTGGGAAATGACTTTCCCTACCTTCAGCACTTCAGTTTAAGGACCAGTTGAATGGGGGCCCTTAGGAAATTGGCATAGGGAGCTCTTAGTTGACTTTCTTAACCCATAGTGTTGAGTATCCTGCTGTGGCCCCTGGTGGTTTATCATGAGCTGATCCAGAGGATGTACACTCGCTTGGAGCCCCTGCTCATGCAGCTGGACTACAGTATGAAGGCAGAAGCCAATGCCTTACATCACAAACACGACAAGAGGAGTAAGGGGCTCCCCTAATTGGAGGGGGAAAGACGGGGAGGGCCTTGGTTTGTGGTTCATGAGGTGCCCTGGAATTTAGATCTTATCCAGTTATTTGGCTGTGTTTGTCTTGCCTCCCATCATTCATGCTTGGTCACTGCCCTACTACTCTTGCTTTTCTAGAGCGGCAGGGGAAGAATGCACCCCCAGGAGGTGATGAGCCACTGGCAGAGACAGAGAGTGAAAGCGAGGCAGAGCTGGCTGGCTTCTCCCCAGTGGTGAGGTCCAGGGAAGATGGGGGTATCAAATAGAAAGCCGGAGGAAACATCTTTGCTTTGGAGCTGCCACCTCTAAAGGAGGTGGAAGCCACAGGTTTGGGAGAGGGGATGCCCCTGATAAATTTGTTCTCTTAACCCCTCATGTGTCGTGTTCATCTTGGCTCTCCTGTAGGTGGATGTGAAGAAAACAGCATTGGCTTTGGCCATTACAGACTCAGAGCTGTCAGATGAGGAGGCTTCTATCTTGGAGAGTGGTGGCTTCTCTGTATCCCGGGCCACAACTCCGCAACTGACTGATGTCTCTGAGGGTACGGGGAGCCCTTTGCTGCCCCCTCCTCACCCTACCCCTGATCTTCCTGTTTCCTACCATGGGTACTTCCTGTGCTCTCTGGCCTACTGACTTTCTAATTCTACTCAGCTCCTAAAAGACTCTAGCAGGCCCATTACCCATTCTTTTTTGTTTTTTTGGTTTTTTTTTGAGACGGAATCTCACTCTGTTGCCAGGCTGGAGTGCAGTGGTGCCATCTTGGCTCACTGCAACCTTCACCTCCCTTGTTCAAGCAATTCCCCTGCCTCAGCCTCCGGAGTGGCTGAGACTACAGGCATGCACCACCACACCCGGCTAATTTTTTGTATTTTATTGGAGACAGGGTTTCATGATGTTGGCCAGAATGGTCTCGATCTCCTAACCTCGTGATCCACCTGCCTCAGCCTCCCAAAGTGCTGGGATTACAGGCATGAGCCACCGCACCTAGCCACCATTCTTAATTCTTTGTTCTCTGTACAGATTTGGACCAGCAGAGCCTGCCAAGTGAGCCAGAGGAGACCCTAAGCCGGGACCTAGGAGAGGGAGAGGAGGCAGAGCTGGCTCCTCCTGAAGACCTACTGGGCCGTCCTCAAGCCCTGTCAAGGCAAGCCCTGGACTCAGAGGAAGAGGAAGAAGATGTGGCAGCTAAAGAAACCTTGCTTCGGCTCTCATCCCCCCTTCACTTTGTGAACACGCACTTCAATGGGGCAGGGTCCCCTTCAGATGGAGTGAAATGCACCCCTGGAGGACCAGTGGAGACACTGAGCCCCGAGACAGTGAGTGGTGACCTCACTGCTCTGCCCAGCACCCTGTCACCCCCACTTTGCCTTGCTGAAAGTGACCCAGCCCCCTCCCCCTCCCCCTCCATTCTCCCACCTGTTTCCCAGGACTCACCCCAGCCCCTGCCTGCCCCTGAGGAAGAAGAGGCACTCACCACTGAGGACTTTGAGTTGCTGGATCAGGGGGAGCTGGAGCAGCTGAATGCAGAGCTGGGCTTGGAGCCAGAGACACCCCCAAAACCCCCTGATGCTCCACCCCTGGGGCCTGACACCCATTCTCTGGTACAGTCAGACCAAGAAGCTCGGGCTGTGGCAGAGCCATGAGCCATTGGGGAAGGAGCTGCAGGCACAGTAGGGCTTCCTGGCTAGGAGTGTTGCTGTTTCCTCCTTTGCCTACCACTCTGGGGAGGGGCAGTGCGTGGGGAAGCTGGCAGTTGGATGGTAGCCATTCCACCCTCTGCCTGCCTGCCTGCCTGCTGTCCTGGGCATGGTGCAGTACCTGTGCCTAGGATTGGTTTTAAATTTGTAAATAATTTTCCATTTGGGTTAGCGGATGTGAACAGGGCTAGGGAAGTCCTTCCCACAGCCTGCGCTTTCCTCCCTGCCTCATCTCTATTCTCATTCCACTATGCCCCAAGCTCTGGTGGTCTGGCCCTTTCTTTTTCCTCCTATCCTCAGGGACCTGTGCTGCTCTGCCCTCATGTCCCACTTGGTTGTTTAGTTCAGGCACTT